TTGACATAATGGAAAATATCATGAATGCAAGCTATGAAACAAATAGTGTCATTGCATTGACTTACATATTGTTATTTAGGATAGCCTGTTCGAATCTCCAGGTTATACACTCAACAATATACATTGCCTGTTATCCTAATCGTACCATAGGCTGCTGAAAAGAATTCTATAACCTACTGTTCGCTTGACACTCTTTTCTAGTTAAACTCGTTTGCTGTCACTCTTTCCATGTCAGTTAACATTCCTCAACATTATTTGCATTTTATCTACAGCTTCTAATTTGGAATAAGCTGGAATGTGATTCCTTCACTAACATATTTCATTTGAGTTTTCTGAGTGTACGCTTCAGAGAAACAGAATTCTTGTCATTCATTTAGAACCAGCGTTTGGTATTATTACGTTCGTTTATGTCAAACCACATCATGTATCAAAGCAATGTGAAATACATTCTAAGTTGGTTGGTAAGGAATGAAACTATTATATTTTCGAATTAAAAAAGAGGTTATTACTTGTGGACAGTTTCTTATCAACAACAAAATTGTTTATTCTATGATGTATATTAGGTGCCTGATATTTCCTAATCTGACACTTGAATCCTGAAAGGAATACTAAATTTTGTTGGAAGATAAATTATTTTAAAGGAAATACGTAATCTCCGGCGTCTTTACCTGCATTACGGTAAACCTGCATTTTTCAGTGCTTACTGAAATTGTGCTTTCTTTTTAAGAATAGACAATAAAGTACACTTCCGATGAAAATATTTATTCTTATTGAATCAGTTTTTTTTGAAAATGACTTTAAACCCATCACTAAGCAAACATCATTAGGGTCTCTTGTGGTCGGTATGTACACACCTAATTTGAATGGTGCTGTGCGACTATGCAGGATACGTGACGGAGTAAGTTATGATCTGAATAAACAACTATTGAGTTTCCGTTACGTAATCACGTATGATAAAAGGGGTTAAAATGAGGCACTGTTGACTGAGAAATTGATAATATTTGTTTCTTTATTATTTAACAACGACGTTCATCAACGAAGAAATTATAATGTCTCGGTAACAAATGAGAGTTACCTTGAGTTTAGAATAAAACGTTTCACATGAAAATGGTAAAATCATATCTGTATTGAAGGAAGATCGTTCAGATCCTTCATGTCATCTTTGTTCAAAACTACAAATAAAATAATTTTGAAAATACCATGTATGTACCATGCAATAGTTAAATTGTGAAGTGTACTTCACTCTTTATGATCTTAGAGTGATATAAAACTATTTTTGCATAAAACCACGTTACAAAATCATTGATTCAAACAAACCACACTTGTAATTTCGTATACGTGTTGAAAAGTACGCTTATATTTTATTCTGTTTATCTTATGTTAGGATACTTAACTTTATGTAATGAAAAGAAAACAATCAAATAAAGTTCTGTGACATCATATTGTGTAGCATTTACTCCTGTTTAACACCAAATGCATAACGTTGCTCTATGAAATCAACAATTATTTAAAACTTGAGATATTGGCAATAATTTGGTGACGCCCATATCTCTTTATACATCGTCAAGCTGAAATATGACTGTGTGAAGAAAGTAGGAGAAACTTTTACCATGTGTTTATAGAAAGATGCATCATGTTTCATAGTTCACTTTGAATATCACATAGTTTACTTAACGCGGTATATCAGAAAATGGATTAAAACTATACCTTATATATCGTTTGATCATCTGAATAGCCTGAAACCGAGTCTCCACATTATGCAAACAGTCCATATTAGTATTATTTGTTCTTTCACAAATATGAAAAATGAGCACTATAGTATCGAGTAAATAAATAACTTCACATGCCAATCCGTAATTTGCAAAACTAATCCCTGATTTTAGGTAATTTATGATATTTGAAATTAGATCAAATACTTTCAAAAACCGTACTATTCAAGAGATTCAGAGCATTTTCGAAATAATCGAAGACACCTTGGATTCGAGGATCTTCAAGTGCACACTTCATGAATTTGTCAAATTCATCTTAACTTATATAAAAAATTAATATAAAATAGAATCTATTCGACATAGTTATTTTTCGTCAAGCCTAAGCATGATAGTTACCAATAAAATTAAAGTTGTATTAGTAATCATTTGACTAGTATGTCATTCGTGTCCAGTCGTATATCTATTTCGTGTGAATACATTCTGAAAAAGGAGAGGTTTTCAGTAGTCAAATATGAATAACTTTCATTCAGGTGAAAGATCTTATTGATGCAACAGTTCATTAAGTTAGTTCAGTGACGTAAATGTTTCACAAGATTCATTAACTACCTACATATGGCTAACATTTTTCAAATAAAACTATCGATAGTGTTTGCGACTGTACAATGTACCACGGTTGCTTTTCAACGCAGTGCTCGGTATATTCTGGTTTGCATTTGAAAATGATTGGTGAGGCGAATTCGCAATGGTGTTTTTCTCAAAATTAACAAGATAATAATTTGACAGGCTTCTTAGTAAAACAGTCAAGTCTTCAGCAGTTATCCAAAGCAATATTTAAGGAGTATGATGAAGTGGGGAAAAAGAGAAATAACAAGAGTTGGTCGAGAAGCATCATCGAAAATATTCTTTTCTTCAGCCGATAATACTTTGGCATGAAACTAAAGCACCATTGCTCAGACCTTTCTTTTTTCTGTAGTAGAACATTAACTGTATACCTACAATTAGGTAGGTTAATGAAGACAAGTCGTTTTTAAGGTAACATATCAGCAAATAATTCTGTAAATTGCGGAAATTCGAAAGCAACAACTTGTAAGAAATTCTGTCGATTTATAAAATATAGTAATGAAATCTGGGTGACCTGAGGCTTTGGTGATGCCTAACTTACTGTTTTTAATGCTCTAGCTCAAAAAGTCATGAGTGAGCTGTTTTTCACTATATTTGTACAAGTCTACTGATAAAAAGATTTCATGATAGGCATCAGAACTAGAGCAAGTTTACAAACATGAGTCGCAGACTTGTTGGATATGAAAAGTAACATCAATATCATTGATTAATTACATCTTACCATATCAAAATGAGCCGTGAGCATACAAATTGTTTTGCCCCTCAGACTTTGTGTCTATTGTGGTTATCGCCCCACCGGGATAATGATGGTCATATTTACCACCCCACTTTTTTTGATGCTACGCTTTCTTTCATTTAGTGTTTAATTTTAAATAATGATTTTAAGTCCAAGCTCTATTTATTGTGTAACTTCTCAGAACACACTTTGAAACTTTAGTAGCATTTTAGTTAATTGTAGACTACGTTATCGATTCAAACTTGCGGTATTGAGTGTTGAATTCAAAGTAGTGCTCACTAATTCAGTGGCTGGTGATTTAACTTCCATATGGATGACTGATCGAGTGATTATGTGATGAAATAAATTTTGCCTTCCATCTCCGTATATTATACCTAGGTAAACCGCGTTTCTGTGAAGGTTTTGCGGATTCAATTTTTTCATGCCTTCATCTAAGGGGATGGACATGAGAATGGTAACGTACAAACAGGGCAACGCAAAGCGAAGTGGCTAACGTAAATGAGCATCTATAGTCGGCCATTTATGGGTTACATATGTAATGAGGAGGTTAGGATGCGCACACATATTCAAGTTGACAGTGTTATCGATACAACAAATTGCCGATACTATTAGAGTATAACTTACACGAATAATCAATTAAGGTAATATAATGAATGAATGGTAAGATGCAAAAACGTTATTTAGTTCATAAAATATTGTCTTAATGTCTTGAATAATAGAATTAATAGTAAATTTATTAAAATCATTCTTATACAGATATGATATATGTATTACTCAATTCTTGTCAGTAGAAGACATTCAAGATTTAGTTCGGTGTTTCTTCACACTAGGAAAACTATCACGAAAATTCTATTTAAGCGTTCACATTAGGAGGCTGCGAAATTATTGACGAAACAAAATTTAAGCTCGACAAGTCGATTACTTAATCTGATTAGATCTATATTTTATATCGGCTTAGTTCATACGGTAAACGGCAAGGAATTCGTCTACTGTCTTTTCAGGAAAACAGTACGATATTCAAAGTCCAGATATCACTGAAAACATGAAGCACTAGATAGTCACTGCTTCTAGGCATTATGGAGCAACTTTTTGGTTCAAAAAGCCTCTTCATGACCACAGCTGTTCTTGATTATTCTGATTATTTCCTTGAGGAAGGCTGATAAATGATTCCACGCAGCCTCATCGATCGTCTGAGATAGGTAAATGTCTCCAATCAACAGGGTTTATGCATCACTTAAATTGAAAATTTTGGATTGATTGGTGCTTACTATAATTTTTACTATTGAATTGATTGGAGATATGGCTTTAGCTATGTTGTAAATCTTACCTTTTTAATGAGTGACTGCACTACGTGTGACGTGTCCGTAACAGGATGGATTGATATTTCTATCTGGAAAAATATTCAATTGTTCATTGAATTCTCTAGGTAGAGACGAAAATAACAATTCTCTCCTAATTCCGTTTGGCTCACGCGGATGACGTCAACATGGCAAACGACAGAGTAGTATAATCATGGTTTAAACTGGAACTTTGCTAATTGGCTTTTCAGTTTATGCCTTCCATCCTAATTGTTTGATTTCTACTAAAGATTTAAAGAGACTGAGTGTATATAGTCGTTGCAAAGTAAATGTTTTCACCGTTTACAATGGTTAATTTATTCAAGCGTGGATAGACTCTCTGATATAACGTGTACGGTATGAGTTTCCACTCTAGTAGCAGTAGTAGCTCACTCATATAGACCAGTCTCTTATGTAACTGACATTGTATACGACGCGAGAAAAATATTCGAAAACAACTGTAGTTCTTACATATTAGATAAGAGTTAAGCAAGACACCTAAAATATTTGAACGTGTAATCTAAATGATAACTTGAACTAATTCTTTGCAAGCCGAAAAATCATCTAACAGCTAAATATACATTCAATAAGACATCTGAAGAAAAATTCAAATACAGTTAATTGATAAAGTAAAAACAATTGTAATAATGATGAGAAGTATTCAGTATACATTTAAAATATTTTATTTATTTCTTATATCACATTGTATAATGATATTTAGAAGGAAAATATCACAGATGATTATTTGACGCGTCCAGCTGTTACTTCAGATTCAATGCCACATTCATCACGTCCACGTACTATACGGAAATAACCATTCTCACCCCAATCTTCATTCCATGAATTAGCAATCAACCAATATGGGGTGTTCTTTTCAACACCCCAACCAACTATACGAATAGCATGTCCGCCAACTTCTTGTCCAGTCATATATTTATAAATTCCAGATTTATAACTTAAAAAATCTTCATAAACAGCAAATGCTGCTTCGACTGGTCCATATTTCATAATTTCTTTTTGAATAGCTTTTTCGTTAGAAAGAACATTGTAAGAGGATTTACCTAAAATGTATAAGAAATGTAGTCAGTCATGCAATAGAAGTTGTTTTAGTGAATTGATGATCTTTTTCCTTTTTTATATCAATGTTCAATTTTTCAAACATTCAAATTCATAAATGTAAACTGTGTGTGAACAGGAGACATGAAATGAATTTCATAATGATATGATTTCGATTGATCTAAAAGGATTTTTATCATTCATACCGATTTTATATTGATTTTGCTACAAGCCATTGAATAAGTGCAAGTAATTGTTAGTTATTATATATGCAGTTGAATATGCCGACGTGATAATATGTTATGTTTCAAATTTGAACGGCCTACATACTAACCGTACGAACTGACTATTCGAGACAGAGAGAGAGAAAGCTTATTTTGATGGAGAATAACTCATTTAAGTATAATATACATAAATAGACTCCGTCGTCTATAACAATGAGCATTCTTCAAAAAAGACATTTCTCATTATGTTACAAAGTCATCGTTACATCCTTATGAATTCTTAGGTTTATAGTAACTTTGGTTGTTCGTAAATTAATGCCAATACTTGTGTATACAGAAACAATTTATTATCATTTGATAAGTTATCCTGGAAATCTTTAAGTCATTTGTTTGGCCTTGAGTGTCATTTTTTCACAATTTCTTACACATGTTTTATTTTTTCAATATTACTTTTATCTTCTTTTTGTATTTGTTTGTACAACTAGTTTGACTAATATCTAATTGACATTCATAAGTAATTTTCAAATAAAATGCTTTGAAAAGTGTATATATGTGATCAGATTGTTGAAAATGAATATCGTGCAAATATATCTTATTATTTCTCAGAACAGTTATGTCTTCTCATCGTTCTATCAGGACTAATAGAATAATTTAAAAAATTTGTGACATTTTTCAATGAACTAAACTCTATAAATTGAGAAATAAAATTTTATGTCATGGATACTGATTGTTGCTCAAAATGTCAATAAACAAAATAAGCCTTACTGAATATCAGTATACTTTGCTGGTATTGCTGACAGAAATCTGTTCTGTATTCTGAAGGTATAAAACAGTTACAATATAATCGGTGTTTATATATAATCATGATGTTTGTAAAGTCTAATTGTGATTGCGACATATTTGTGTAAATCCAATACAGGACACTTTATAACTGACAATGAATCGGTGTCAGTTACTAGAAACTAGTTACTACTTACCACGATGTTTATCTTTCATGTAAGAGATTTTATAACTTTTCTGACAAGTGTGTTTACATTGAGGAGTTTTGTAGATTTTCGTACCACATGCAGGATATTTTCCTTTACTATGATGTTCACATTTAGGGAATGGATATGGTTGACAGCCAGTGTGATTCTCTTTAGAACTACCAGTGACAATACCTGTTTCCACCCAAAAATCCCAAGCAGCACCAGGGAAACCACCATTACAACCAAATCCACAGTCAGGACAACAGCTTATTAGGTCAAGAGCACTCAGTTCCACAGATTGTTTTCCATGTGTTTGTATACAGATACGATCACTCATTGCTTCTACTGCTCCAAATGCCTGGAATACAAAAGCGTTGAAAATATTAAGACATGGCATTACTACAGTCTGATCGTTCATACGATTCTCTACACAAACACAGATGTCTAAAGATATCAACAGTCATTCGCAGTGTGGTAGTATTCTATTCATTATAGCTTACCCAACACGATCCACATCGTGACTGATCGCGTATCATCGAGATACTCTTACAACGGGGCCATTTCTTTCGTGAGTCGAAACTCGATGGAATTTCCACATTCCAATCACTATGATCGACTGTTGGACGTTTCTTGTTTCGCAACACTGGATCCTCTTTTCTTGCACCCATCATCATACGTGCATCATCCAATGATAGGAAACGTGTGCTTTTCTCAGCTTTCCATCCAGCGTCTGGCTGAGGAATAGAAAAGTGAGAATAAGAAGTATTGATTATTTGCTTAGGTAAAGTATTCACAGATTTTCAAGTAAAAATTATGAAACTGGAAAACGCGACACTGTTCAAAATGTTCCACTCTCAATCGTTAGTTATTCAGTGTTCAATTCCGAATATATGAAATCAAATAAGAAATATTCTATTGTTGATAACTTGAAACTTGGAATTCTTATCTGTCATTGTTTTAACAAGTTTTTAATTATAAAGAAATTCATTGTACTCACAGACATACAATATATCTGTTACTTCACATAGATGTTTCTTTCGCCTAGACATTATTATAGACAACTTACATGTTGATTGATATACGAGATCATTTCATCGGAGAGTGGTTCAATTCTTTCACTTTTCTTCACTGAAACATGTGCTTCAATGAGAGTTAACAATGCAGCGATACACAACACAGAGCCGAACATATTTAAATCAGTCATCAGTGAATGCGTCTACATTCAATAGATCAACAAAGAATAATTTACTTATATAGTGAGTTCAAATATTGGACTTTGATAAATAATACAATGATGTTATAAGCTATTATAATTCATAAGTATTTTTCAAAAAACTTACTTATATGTCAATGTTTAATAGAGAAAATATGGTTCAGTGAATAAACAAATCAAGATATTTACGCTCACAAATGAACATTGAACGTTGATCAACATTGATATGTGGAATAAAAATAGTGATAAATTATTTTTCTAATGAATTGAAATTTTGATTATAATCTACAATTCCAAAGGTTAGTTTGCGTGTAATACAAGTATTGGTACTTGAAATGTAGGTAAATCGCAAATGTTCTTACCTACTTTGATATTTAACCAATATTATTAGATTGTAAATAGAAAAAAAATATTCATTTGATTTAGTTCAACTTCATTTGTGTACATATCTTATGATCTTTAATCAAAGGTTGCTCACTTGTTGAGTTTAGAACGGGAGGTGCTGATTTGAAGCTGCGGAATGTCATTTCGGATCTGAATTCAGATGTTTTACTCTGCCTGCAGCCTTTCCATGGTTACTGTCAGTCTCAAGCACTGATAAAGGAGGATACCAGGCACGAATATATCGACCTCATTACGTAGATATCCAACACGTTAAAAAGCGCTAACTGTTACGTCCAATTTTTTGCTCCTTGCTCCTTAGAAGTACTGTGTGTCGATCTATTTGCAATTCACGAACCCAAATTTATAACAAAACGAAACTCCAAAGTAGGTTCCAAAGTTTATTGTTAATTCACAAATAATCGACCAAAATGTCAATCGTCAATTACAATTAGACGACCAATGTCGTTCTAACAACAATAATTATAATAATTACAAATACCTCCAATTTTGTAGGCTCCTGGAGCAAAAACTGCAAACGAACAAACCAAGACAAACAGGAATCGAAATGGTCGAAAATAATAAATCAAAGAAACTCATAAGTTAAGTAAAAGAAATATACCCAAAAGACACAGTGAAATTAATGTTATTTATTTAAAGGTTTGAATCAGCCGAATGTCTTTATTTTTCCCGTAACACTAACCACTCAAATAATTTGCTGGATGGTGACCTAAACTCTGTTAGTGGTTACTGGCGTAAGTAATTGAGCAAGTAGGTTCCGCTAGAGACCATCTCAATAATAATAATTAAAAAAACAGTTACACAGTGCGAAATTTCATTCATCATTGTATTCTTTTTACAAACTCTACTCTTTCGATTTCAACGTACATAAATACAGCTTCTTACTTCGACTTCTCTTCTATCCACCTGACACTGCACAACTCTCCCTTCTTTTTGCTGTACTCCTTTATCTGTGCGTTATATTCTTATATTCCCATAATTTACTTTAATTTAAGTGGTCAGTATGAATTTTATCTTGACATACTACTGTTTTGACTACTTCAACATGACAGGTTAAGTAGTGCTTTGGTTATATATATACACTTGCCACACTACTGCCTTTTTCTCTCTCTTTTTTCTCCTTTTCAGAACCCCATTCACGGTGGGAAACGGTTGTCGACTCTAGGGAACATGCACCCTATGTACATGGCTGTCTGGATCACAGCTCGTATCAAGCGCGTTTCATATGACCTTTCCCAACAAATTCACTATTGATCTCGTCAAATCGCCAAAAGAATCTATTGTGCACCTCCGTTACTGTACTGTACTATTGAAAATGTGTCTGTATTATACTGTTTCTGTCAGTGACATGGTATAAATATGCTATCAGAAACTGACTCTTATACTTCATTTAACTGCTATAACTTTTACAGTAATTGTTAAAGCATTTGTGACAATTTGATCTAGCCTGTAAACTGGCGTGACTCTTGTAACGTTGTTATTTCAGAATAAATATATTATTATTAATATTATTAAATATTACCGCTGACCATAATCTATTCTGCATAAAATGAGCTTTTGGTCCTTTTCAGTGTTATGTTTTTCTGTTGATCATCACATTGTTACGTCATAGGATATCGGTATGTTTCGTGACAATTTCAATTCGAATTCATGATAGCATACTTTACAGTTATTCACCAAAAATAATGGAGTATGTCGAATGTAATTACGTTGCGTACAGACTGTTGAAACAGTTTACTTATTATTTCCAAAAAAAAACAGTTCTAGCTTTTGAGAATTATTGTACAATGGTTGATGGAAAGACACATTTATAGTGAGTTAATGAAATATACAGAATTCTTGTTTACATAAGATGCTAATTTACAGCAGTTTATTCAGTCCATTATAATTATTTCATATAAACCGGCAACCCGCCTAAATACTTGGTTTGCCTTGTGTTGATTGCAGTCAAGGTTTACTATGAACACTCCTACAAATCAATTTCAGTCAGGTCTTTTAGTTCATTATCCCGTCAGGAATTAACAATAAGGAAGAAAAGATAGTCCAGAGGAATGTGTGTATTTGCTGACAATTTCATGGTATCAAATGGATACCAAAATCATGCCGGACATGATATGCTAGCATGTACAGAGCAGCAAAAGCGAGATGCTACCCGCATAACAGGACAACCAAGAAGTTCAGTAAAACAACCACTGGTTCTATTGGTTATAATAATGAATTTTTTCATTTAACCAATCCCGTTTTCCTCGTAAAAGTGGAGTCACTGTAACCTGTTTCTTAATATCAAAATATTTCAACAAGTTACTTCATTACTTTTTGGTTCAACACGTCATTTATGCTTATTAGTTGCATGATCTCTTCATAAAGTTTTACAAAGTACAATCTGAGATACATGGTGATGGCTGACAAATAAGAACAGAGTGAACGTTGATTGATAAGATATTCACTGTTAAATCGCTAACTATCAAGTATCAATTACTGGTTGATTTCGTAAATGGAAACGTGTTTCATGTAGAGAATCTCATTTTGTTCTAAACATATAGTATTGAATAAAGCCATCATTTTTACTATTGTCACATTATACTTACATATGATGATTACGATTCACAAGTAAATTCTCTCATCTAAGTAATATTAAAGTTTACAAGCAGCTGACTAAAATTAAAAGAAATAAGAATGGAATGATGTTGTTCTGCTCAAATCGTTGTTTTTTTCAAAATATATTACTGCTAGAAAATTATGAATCCAATTTTTTTATCAAATTTTGAGTAAGAATATGCAATCTTCTAACAATGAAACACAAAAACAATTCGATTACCTAATATCGATTTCAATGTTGTGCAGATTTGACAATATGTAGAATAATCATAAACTCGTCATTGTTAGACCACCATTAGAAGTCTAGAAGCTCTGGACGGCTTTGTTCCAGTTGCGAGACTCATCGGCAATGCGCAGTAACAGCCGAACACAATAAGTGGGATTGCGCGAAATCTTTAGATTGATGAGAGTTGAATAATGACGTTGTCGGATGTCGGCTAAGTGGTTCACATGTTAGACGTGACCACTGAGGACTAAAGGTCCTGTGTTCTAACCGTGTGATCATCACAAGTCATTGATACCAGGTTTTTAATGGTAGCCTAACAATGATTCAGGCAAGACTTTATCGTAAAACACAATATTTTATTGCGAAATGTAATTAGCTTTCTGAAATATTTTTTGCAGTTCTCCATTAAACCTAACTGATGTGTAGTAGAATCGAGTTTTGAAAAAGTTATGCAATTTTTTCTGAGCAAATGTGAATGTGAACGGTTGATATGTCATATCGTAACAAATATGCACCACTTGTTATCCTATCCACTATTTATAGTTGATAAATTTTAAGCACTACTCGTGATCAATAAGTTAATTACTGCAACACATTAAACGAACAGGGATTGAAAGAATAAAGTTGAAAGGTATATTCATTGTCTGAAATATTCACACGACATGTAGATGAATAATCTTCAATAATACATAATGTGTGAGCAATAGCTGAGGATGATTTTCTTATTCTCAAGGTAGCGCGATTATCTTTTTGTTTCATCATAGCATTATGGAAATCGTTGTTTTTACATGAAAAAATCATTGCTAGACCACAATTAGAAACCTGAAGCCATTTTGCCCTGTTATGGGCCTAATCAGTATTGCACATACACAACTACAACATGTAACAGGATATAAACCCATGACACTTGGTCTTGTGGGGGAACGCTTAAAATTTGGTCCAATGAGCCAGTGTCCAACACTGAGTTTCCGCAGATTCCTCAGAATGATCAGAGTTAGACACTGTCCAATGCTGACCCAGTGTTATGAAGGTTAAGCGTTAGGATTCAAGACCAAACGTCCTGGAATCGAATATTCCGAGCAGAAGTATACGCGGATGCTATCTTCTGGTTAGTCCCATACCAGGACAAAGACGTTGTCCATCGATTCCAGGTTACCAATGGTGATCTAAGAATGATTCATGAATGATACTGTACGATTTCTAGCAAAAATTGCTTAGACTCGATTTCAGTTTATTCAAACAATGGTATTATCCGATTTAACGTACATCTAATCATTCAGTGACGTAAATAATCTTTGTGTGCCTACGGTGGATAACTGTCTTACATTTACCATAATTTAACTCTATTGGTCATTATACTTGTCACTAGTAGTATTTATTCAATGCCTAATTTTCTCGTACTATCACGAATCTGACTAAATTCGTTCGTTTGTATTCACATCCATTTTGCTAGCAATAACATTTAAAAACCAAACAGTATGAGTTATTTCAAAATAAAATGTACTGACATTCAGTGTATTTTATTTTTTTCAGTAATGAAAAATCATATAATAACAAAGCGAAAAATGATGTGTGAAAACATTGCGATCCTAAAGAATACAAATAAAAAATTTACTCTTGGTAGATTCTTTGAATGTTGTTACTTAACATCAATGTGTTTATTTAGAGTTAAAATAAAACAAGAATATTTTTTGTACTAAAATTTCGGAATACCAGCAGTCACTTCATCTCCAATTCCACATTCATTACTTCAACGGAATATTCTGAAAAAGCCTTCATCACCCCAATCTTTATTCCATGAATTTGCACACAACCAGTAAGGAATTTTGTTCTCTTCGCCCCAACCATGTATTCGAATTGCATAATTTCTAACGAGTTGCCCGCCTACATGTCTGTG